TCTCTCACTCTCTGACTCCTCAGTTTACATCTTCACTGACTGCCTGTCTTAATGCATACCAGCCTCTGGCTTTTTTACTATCCATTCCATCCAGAAAGAGCACACATCAACTGCAGAGGCTTCCTCAGTCTGACTAAGGGTTTTTAAACTCAAAAGTTTTCTAAGAAAATTTTTTCCAACTATTTAAGCTGGTCTAATAAAATATATCAGATTCACCCAAAGCAGCTTGTCTGCCTATGTCCTTAGACCAACATGGCTACAACCTGTAAAGGTAGTCATATAATTTGGCTTTACTGAAATGCTTTGCTGAATCAGGACTTGCACTAGGTAACATTTACAATAAAAATCATGTTAAAACTCTGGACTTCAATGAAAACAGAGTTGGACCCTTACTTTGTTCCCTATCAAGAGAACATCTGCATCTGGATCTTCTAGATCCCACAAAGAAATGGGTATCAAGCCCTTTTTATAAAACCCCAACAACTGGATCTCACTCAAGATTAAGGCAATGAAAAATTCAGGAGCAGCACCATCCCATGCCAGTACCCTTCCACTACCCCCCATCTAATCAGGAGTGATGTAGTGAGAAGGAATTAAAAACTTTAAATTCCTTTCCTTCTTTCCCACAACCAAAAACCATACACTTCTGTGGGAAGGAGTAACTTGATCTCTGCTCTGTCCATTAACAAGGAGCCCTTTCTACGCTGGGATAACTCATCTCCAGCCATGTTTTAAACAGTTGTTGGAGGAGGATTTCTCTCCCCTTTTCCTCAAACCTTTTCCTCAGCAGCCCTCCATAAAGAAAATAATTCATGGAGATCAACCTTGTGCGTGAAAGCCTGTGCAAATGCCTTATAGCTATTTTTGAATGGCACTGTTACAATTAACCTTGCTAACAATTGTTTTAAACACAGTTGTACATGGCAGGTAGCTTGGTTGTGATTCTTTCAGGCCTATTAGGAGTGCCATAGAGTCACAGGCTTAGGCCCACCAAAAAAATACTATAAGACACCCTTAATAAGGGAGGCCACTGAGGACACACAAACCAATTTCTTGGGACAAATAAAGAGAAAACAGGACGGGGAGTGCAATCGTATGTTAATAATAAGGAATCCAGGAGGGGACATACCGGCAGTGCCCCTGCCCCCTGAATAAGCTAAGGGAGCCTGTTGACACCGACCAGTGAAGCTGTGTGGAGGCATGAGCAGAAAGGCAGCCCCATACTTTCCCAGGTTCCCCCCTGCCCCCAGCACAGTCTCCTTCCTGGTCTTACAGATGGCCAACTTGGCCAGAGCCAGGACTCCAATTCATTCCTGATGAAACCCCGACTTAAAAGATTAAGTGTTGTCTTTTCCCTGCACACTGCCAAAACCTAAAGGAATGAAACACAACATTATCAGACAGTATGCTCCATTCAGATTTGCTGTATAGATATATACTCCATAAAAAGGGTCAGGAGGAGTAAAGGTGATATTTCATCAGACAGCAGTCTAATGGACACTTGGATTTAGATTTCTAACTAATCCAACCGCTTGACACTGTATCCTTTAGATGTGCATGTGTATGTGTAAATGCTTCCTCCCAGAGTATCTGTAGGGCAGTGGTCTCCAACCGTTTTAAGGTGAAGATCATTTTTTGGCACCCCATGATCTACTGTCCCTCACCACCCCTCCCTGCCTCCCAGACAAGCCCCTGGTCTCTGACCCCACTCACCCAGCCCAGCCAGGTGGCAGGAGGCATGGTTCAGCCCAGCCACATGCAACCTGCCGCTCCTGATTGTGGAGCCTCTGACAGACCGAGCTCCACTGTCAGCGGCTCCGCAATTGACCAGTCGATTGAGATAAACTGGTTGGTGACCACTGCTGTACAAGCGCTCTCTAGTCTCAGATGTCACCACTATTTTTGATCTACACTTTCAGGAAGAAGCTTTTATCTTGAAACAGACATTTGGGGGCACGAGCCCCACCAGCTTAGCATGTGGAGTCATTTGAAAAAACGTGCCAAGCTGGTAATGGGCTCCCATGTCCCCAGGGCGGCGCTGCATTGTCCCATGCTGGGGAGCTGCTTCCAGCCTTCTGCAATGTTTGCACTTCACTGATGGTGTCAATTTAAATTTCCAGAGGGGCTCAACCTGTCTCAGATCCTTCCAGGACGGCTCAGCACAGCCTTTCCCATGCAGGCAAGGACCCTGTGGGCTCTGCTGCCCGGGGAGCAGCCTGGCACTAGCGCCCCGCACCCCAGGCTCTTCCGCTGCTACAGCCCCAAGCTGGTTCATTCACCAGCCCAGCCCCTGCCCCGGGATCCCGCCCCGCCCCCGCGCCACTGGGGGGGGGGGGGGGCC